AGTATTATTTACCATTATATTAATTTTATAATTATTGTGATTATGATTACAATAATATAGTGTAGTACGATTTATATTGTATTATTTATATTTATTGTGTATAATAATATAGTATTATAGTATTATTTACCATTATATTATTTTTTATAACTAGCCGTCCCCTGCCACACGTTGCTGTGGCCCAGTCTGAGTATATGTGTATATGTGTGTGTATAATATTTAATAATAATAATAATATAGTACACTATTATTTATAATTATATTATTATTATATTGTTATTATCATTATTTCCTCATCAGCATAATCATCATCACCTCCATCATCATCATCATCATCATCATCATCATCATCAGAAGCCGAACATGAGCCTGAAGACCTGGCTTTTTGAGAAGGCATTCAACTGAGCGCTACGGCAATGAGAAATTGACAATTGGAACGGTTTACGGATGATGATATTGGTTATGATTCCAGGATATGACGGAGCGGATTATTTAGTGTAACTAGTTTATAGTATTATTGTTGTATTGATTGCTTGTTTCTGTCTTTTGTAAACTGTTTTTATATGTTGTGCACCGCCGCGAGTCGCCCTAGGGCTGAGAGCGGCGGTCAATAAATGAAGTAAATAAATAAATAAATAAATAAATAAATATTTGTGTATATGTGTATATATGAGTGTTTGCATATATATGTGTGTGGTTTTGCTCATGTGCTGTGCTGAAATGTATTTTTTTATTTTTTGGCTTTTAAAATCTCTTCTGCTGTGTTTTTCAGTGTTTTTATGAGTGACAGTCACTTGTTGGCTTGATAGGTGTATTGTGTCCAAATTTGGTGTCAATTTATCCAGTGGTTTTGAGTTATGTTAATCCCACAAATGAACATTACATTTTATTTGCATAAATTACTGAGATTATTATTTACAATAATATAGTATAGCATTAGTTATGAAATTATAATAATATTATTTACCATTATATTATTATTTATAATTATTGTGATTATTTACAATAAAGTATAGTATTATTTATAAAATTATTATTGTGTATAATAATAAAGTATTATTTACCATTATATTACTATTTATAATTACTGTGATTATCATTTACAATAATATAGCATAGTATTAATTATAATATTATTACTGTGCAAAATAATATAGTATTATTTATCATTATATTGTTATTTATAATTACTGTGATTATTTTTTACCATTGTATTATTATTTATAATTGTGATTATTCACAATAATATAGTTTATTATTATTTATAAAATTATTATTGTGTTATAATAATAAAGTATTTTTTACCATTGTATTATTATTTATAATTACTGTGATTATTATTTACAATAATATAGCATAGTATGAATTATAATATCATTACTGTGCATAATAATATAGTATTTATCATTATATTGTTATTTATAATTACTGTGATTATTGTTTACCATTGTATTATTATTTATAATTATTGTGATTATTCACAATATAATAGTATAGTATTATTTATAAAATTATTATTGTGTATATCATTATTGTGCATAATAATCTATATCTATATATATAATAAAAGAGAATGTTTGTATCGGACAGAGGAAGGAGTATGTGGCAGCGTTCTGATTGGCTGCCGCTGCGGTGCTATTTGCATATGGTCTCTGATTGGCCACCTTCAATAGGAGCCCCTGGTGGAGAAGAGGGCTCATGGCAGAAACGGGGCATGACAGAAGGAAATTTGCATATGGTCTCTGATTGGCCAGCCTCAATTCCAAGATTCCGAGATGACAAAGAGAGGAAAGGAAAAGGCCAGGGGCTGGGTCAGAAAATTACCAATACAGACCAAACTTGGCACACAGAGCCCCCATGACCCACTCTACATCCTACTGCAGTTTGGAGGAGGATGAACCATGGATGATGGGACTTGCAGTACCATCACTCACATTCTGAGACCGCTGTTAACCTCATCCAATGACCGATCAGGACCAAACTTGGCACATAGACCTCTCATGACCCACTTTACGTCCTGGTGTGGTTTGGCCGGGGATGGACCATGGATTATGGGACTTGCAGTACCATTGCTCATTCTTCAGACCACTGCAACCCTCATCCAATTACCAAAATACCAAACTTGGCACACTGAGTCTCCATGACGCACTCTACATCCAGGTGCAGTTTGAAGGAGGATGCACCATGGACGATGGGACTTGCAATACCTGCACTCCCTTCCTAAGACCATTACAACTGCCAACAATGATGGATCAGGACCACAATTTACACAGAGAGTCCGCATAACTCACATCCTGGTGCGGTTTGGAAGAATTTGACAATGGATGATGGGACTTGCAGTCACTTCACTCACTTCCTGAGACCACTGAGACCCACGCCAATGACTCATCAAGACTACACTTGGCACATGGAGCTTCAATGACCCACTCTACATCCTGGAGCAGTTTGGAGGACGACAGACCATGGATGATAGGACTTCAAGTACCTCCACTACCCAAGACTGCTGCAACCCTCATCTAATGACCGATCAAGACCAAACTTGGCACACACAGCCCCCATGACCCACCCTACATCCCGGTGCTGTTTGAAGGATGGACGATGGGTGATGGGACTTGCAGTACGTTCACTCACTTCCTGAAACCATAGCGACACTCATTCAAAAACCAATAAAGACCAAACTTGGAACATAGAGCCCCCATGGCCAACTCTCATCCTACTGCAGTTTGGAGGAGTGTGGACCAGGGATGATGGGACTTGCAGTACCTCCACTCCCTTCCCAAGACTGCTTCAACCCTCATCTAACGACCAATCAAGACCAAACTTGGCACACAGAGCCCCCACGACCCACTCTCCATCCTGGTGCAGTTTGGAGGAGGATGGACCACAGATGATGGGACTCGCAGTACCTTCACTAACTTCCTAAGACCACTGCAAGCCATATAAATGATAAGGACCAACCTTAAGACACAATTCCTTTCTCAAATAACCCGGGCAGTGCTGGGTCCCCAAGCTATATATAATAAAAGAGAATGTTTGTATCGGACAGAGGAAGGAGTATGTGGCAGCGTTCTGATTGGCTGCCGCTGCGGTGCTATTTGCATATGGTCTCTGATTGGCCACCTTCAATAGGAGCCCCTGGTGGAGAAGAGGGCTCATGGCAGAAACGGGGCATGACAGAAGGAAATTTGCATATGGTCTCTGATTGGCCAGCCTCAAATCCAACATTCCGAGATGAGAAAGAGAGGAAAGGAAAGGCCGGGGGCTGGGTCAGAACACTCCCAATACAGACCGAAATAGGCACACAGAGCCCCCATCACCCACTCTACATCCTACTGCAGTTTGGAGGACTATGAACCATGGATGATGGGACTTGCAGTACCACCACTCACATTCTGAGACCGCTGTTAACCTTATCCAATGACTGATCAGGACCAAACTTCGCACAGAGACCTCTCATGACCCACTTTACGTCCTGGTGTGGTTTGGCTGGGGATGGACCGTGGATTATGGGACTTGCAGTACCAATGCTCATTCTTCAGACCACTGCAACCCTCATCCAATTACCAAAAAATACCAAACTTGGCACACTGAGTCTCCATGACGCACTCTACATCCAGGTGCAGTTTGAAGGAGGATGCACCATGGACAATGGGACTTGCAATACCTGCACTCCCTTCCTAAGACCATTATAACTGCCAACAATGATGGATCAGGACCACAATTTACACAGAGAGTCCGCATAACTCACTTTATATCCTGGTGCGGTTTGGAAGAATTTGACAATGGATGATGGGACTTGCAGTCACTTCACTCACTTCCTGAGACCACTGAGACCCACGCCAATGACTCATCAAGACTAAACTAGGCACATGGAGCTTCAATGACCCACTCTACATCCTGGAGCAGTTTGGAGGACGACAGACCATGGATGATGGGACTTCACAGTACCTCCACTCCCTTCCCAAGATTGCTGCAACCCTCAAGATTGCTGCAAGATGAGCTGAGAATAGGCGGCGGGGGGGGGGGGGTCGGCAAGAAGGGGCGCGGGGAAGGGCGAAGGGGCAAAAAAGGAGGTGGACAACGTAGAGGCGATGGTACGAGGAGGGAGTGACTTGGATGTGGGCGGAGGGGAGCTGCGTCTCGCCGGTTTCCAGTTTTTTCTGTTGGTCATGAGAGTTCTGCATGGCAAATTAGGTTCAAATCCATTGCTGGTGCAGTTCAGAATGCTCTTTGATTATAGGTGAACTATAAATCCCAACTACAACTCCCAAATTACAAAATCAATCCTCCCCCAACCCCACTAGCATTTACATGTGGGTGCATTGGGTATTTATGCCCAGTTTGGTCCAGTGAATGAAAATACATCTTGCATATCTGATATTTACATTATGATTTATAACAGTAGTAAAATGACTGTTATGAAGTAGCAACAAAAACAATGTTATGGTTGGGGATCACCACAACATGAGGGACTGTATTAAGGGGTCACAGCATTAGGAAGGTTGAAAACCACTGTTTTATAATATTATTTATATTATTATTACATATAATAATATAGTATTATTTACAATTATATTATTATTTATAATTCACCTGGAATAACAGTGTTTTATTACAATTAGGAATATTATAGCATTGTATTATTATTTGTAATCATCATCATCATAAATAAGCTCAACGTGAGCCAACAGTGTGATACACCAGCTAATAAAGCCAATACCATTTTAGGTTGCATTAATAGGAGTGAAGTGTCTGAATCCAGACACTATGGATCTCAAGAGGGTCACACTCTCTCAGCCCCAGAAGGAACTTGCAAGCACCACCACCACCATCAGCAGCAGCAGCCAAGGGTGAAGGCAGAAGGCAAGGGCAAAAGGTGTTGTTTACAGCGCCAGGGCTGGTACGAAGGCTCCCTCTGCGCCAGCCAAGGGTCAAGGGCGGTGGCCCAGCCTGACCTTGCCTTGCATAACCCCCACCCCCGCGGGACAAGCCTCACCCACCGGGCGTCCGCCGTCTCCAGGGGAAACTTCCTCGCCCACAGGAGCCGCAGCAGGCGGAAGAGGCGCTGCCCGGCTCCTCTGGCAGGTGGGGCTCCAGGCAGGGCTCCTGGGCCCCCGGGGGCAGCTCCAGCAACTCCTCCCCGGCCGTGGGACCCTCCTGAGCCGGCCCCATGCAGCCCCGGCGGCGCCCTCGCTTGCTTGCTGCCTCCCTCCGTTTGCCGGCTCTTTCTCTTGCTGTCCGGCTGAGAGCCGGCAACTTCACCGCGCATGCGCCCAGCCGGCTTTCCCCTCTCCTTCTCTCCCTCCCTCCCTTCCTGGAAAGCGGATTGATTGCTCTGCCTCGCGGGGTGAAGTTCAGGCCGGCCCTCAAAGTGCCTCTCCGTCAATGTTTCCTAATGCCACAACCCCTTAGTACAGTTTCCTTATGTTGTGGTGACACCCCAACCATAAAATTATTTCCCTTGCAACTTGTAATTTTGCTACTGTTATGAATCGTAATGTAAATATCTCATATGCAGGATGTATTTTCATTCATTGAGTCCAATTTGGCACAAATACCCAAATTTGAATGCTGGTGATTTCCTTGATATTTATGAGTTGTGGTTGCAGGTATGTCTTACATGCCCTTATTATTTGTCGTGTCAGAACAACCAGTCAAATTATATTACATTTCTAACAGAACAAAGCAAACAAGCAGATTACAAAATTTGTGAGTATGAGAGTTGATTAAATGTCCTTTGACCAGTATCTGGCCACTTGGAGTGCTTCTGGTGTTGCTGCAAGAAGGTCCTCCATTGTGCATGTGGCAGGGCTCAGGTTGCATTGCAGCAGGTGGTCAGTGGTTTGCTCCTCTCCACACTCGCATGTCGAGGATTCCACTTTGTAGCCCCATTTCTGAAGGTTGGCTCTGCATCTCGTGGTGCCAGAGCGCAGTCTGTTCAGTGCCTTCCAGGTCGCCCAGTCCTCTGTGTGCCCAGGGGGGAGTCTCTCATTTGGTATCAGCCATTGGTTGAGGTTCTGGGTTTGAGCCTGCCACTTTTGGACTCTCGCTTGCTGAGGTGTTCCAGTGAGTGTCTCTGTAGATCTTAAAAAACTATTTCTAGATTTAAGTCGTTGACGTGCTGGCTGATACCCAAACAGGGGATGAGCTGGAGATGTCTCTGCCTTGGTCCTTTCACTATTGGCTGCTACTTCCCGGCGGATGTCAGGTGGTGCAATACCGGCTAGACAGTGTAATTTCTCCAGTGGTGTAGGGCGCAGGCACCCCGTGATAATGCGGCATGTCTCATTAAGAGCCACATCCACTGTTTTAGTGTGGTGAGATGTGTTCCACACTGGGCATGCATACTCAGCAGCAGCGTAGCACAGCGCAAGGGCAGATGTCTTCACTGTATCTGGTTGTGATCCCCAGGTTGTGCCAGTCAGCTTTCGTATGATATTGTTTCTAGCACCCACTTTTTGCTTGATGTTCAGGAAATGCTTCTTGTAGGTAAGAGCACGGTCCAGAGTGACTCCCAGGTATTTGGGTGCGCTGCAATGCTCCAGTGGGATTCCTTCCCAGGTGATCTTCAGAGCTCGGGATGCTTGTCTGTTCTTGAGATGAAAGGCACATGTCTGTGTTTTAGATGGGTTAGGGATCAGCTGGTTTTCCCTGTAATAGGCAGTAAGAGCACCTAGAGCTTCTGAAAGCTTCTGTTCTACCATCTCAAAGCTCCCTGCTTGAGCAGTAATGGCACGATCATCAGCGTAGATGAAACTCTCTGTCCCTTCTGGCAGTGGCTGGTCATTTGTGTAGATGTTGAACATGGATGGAGCAAGCACGCTCCCCTGAGGCAGGCCGTTCTTCTGTTTCCGCCATCTGCTTCTCTGGCCCTGGAACTCAACAAAAAGCTCCTGTTTTGTAGCAGGTTTCCTATGAGGCGGGTGAGGTGGTAGTCCTTTGTGATATTATACATTTTCCTCAGGAGGAGGCGGTGGTTTACAGTATCATAAGCCGCTGACAGGTCTATGAAGAAAAGCTCCTGTGATCTGCTGCCTTTCAAAGCCATCTTCTATGTGCTGAGTCAGATTCAGCACTTGCGATGTGCAGCTTTTGCCTTTTCTGAAGCCAGCTTGCTGTGGCATTCTGAGCTCCACCAATGATTGAATTGAACCAAACTTGGCACACAGGCCTCCCATTATTATTATTATTATTATTATTATTATTATTATTACTTTATTTGTACCCCGCTAGCATCTCCCGAAGGATTCGATGCGGCTTACACAGGCCGAAGCCCCAAAACACAATACAACAATACAATACCTAAAGCAAATTAAAACAGTTAAGCAGAAAACAATAACAGTAACAATACAACAAGACACTATTAAAACTGGGCCGGCCGGAGTAGGGGTACAGGATTAAAAGTGCTGATGTGGCGGGAGGAATGTAGGATTATAAAGTAAGTGCAGTGTGCAGTGATCTTGGTTCTACTAAAGTGCTTCTAGGACTTGGTGCTGGAGGTTCCTAATCTGAAAAGGCACATCGGAACAGCCAGGTTTTCAAATTCTTTCTGAAGACTGCCAATGTAGGGGCCTGTCTGAGATCTTTTGGGAGGGCGTTCCAAAGTCGGGGGGCCACCACAGAAAAGGCCCTGTCTCTCGTCCCCACCAAGCGCGCTTGCGACGCGGGCGGGATCACGAGCAGGGCCTTTCCAGATGACCGAAGTGAGCGTGTGGGTTCGTAGACAGCGATACGGTCACGCAGGTAGGGTGGTCCCAAACCGTTCAGGGCTTTGTAGGTAAGCACCTGCACCTTAAATTGGGCTCGGAAAATAAACGGCAGCCAGTGGAGCTCCTTAAACAGGAGGGTTGACCTCTCTCTGTAATGAGCCCCGGTTAACATCCTGGCTGCTGCCCGTTGGACCAGTTGGAATTTCCGAGCCGTTTTCAAGGGCAGCCCTACGTAGAGCGCATTGCAGTAATCCAATCTAGAGGTGACCAAGGCATGGACCACCCCAGCCAGATCAGCCTTCGCAAGGTACGGTCGCAGTTGGCGCACGAGTCTTAGTTGTGCGAAAGCCCTCCCAGACACAGCCGACGCCTGAGCCTCAAGCGTGAGCGATGAATCCAGGAGGACTCCCAGACTGCGGACCTGTGGTTTCAGGGGGAGTGTAACTCCGTCCAACACAGGTTGCCACCCTATACCCCGATCAGGTTTACAATCGACCAGGAGGACCTCTGTCTTGTCGGGATTGATCTTCAGCTTGTTCCTCCTCATCCAGATAGACACAGTGGCCAGGCACTCATCCAGCACCCGAGAGGCCTCCTTGGAATTGGGTGGAAATGAGTAGTAGAGTTGTGTGTCATCTGTGTAGAGGTGGCACCTAACTCCAAAACTCCGGATGACCTCTCCCAGCGGTTTCATGTATATATTAAAAAGCATGGGAGACAGAATGGAGCCTTGCGGGACCCATATGCAGGATGTATTTTCATTCATTGAGCCCAACTTGGCACAAATACCCAAATTTGAATGCTGCTGGGGATTGATTTTGTCATTTGGGAGTTGTGGTTGCTGGGATTTATAGTTCACCTACAATCATTCTGAGCTCCACCAATGATTGAATTGAACCAAACGTGGCACTCTGGACTCCCATGACCAACAAAAAACACTAGAATGGTTTGGTGGACAATTGACCTTGAGTTTGGGAGTTGTAGTTCACCTACAACCAGAGAGCACTGTGGACTCAAACAATGATGGATCTGGACCAAACTTGGCACGAATATTCTATATGCCCAATCACAGATGGAGTTTGGGGAAAAATAGACCTTTACATTTGGGAGTTGCAATTACTGGGATTTATAGTTCACCTACAATCAAAGAGCATTCTGAACCCCACCAACAATGGATCTGGACCAAACTTGGCACATGACCAAAAGAAAATATTGGAAAGATTTGGTGGCCATTGACCTTGAGTTTTAGAGTTGTAGTTCACCTACATCCAGAGAGCACTGTGGACTCAAACGCTTACTTACTTTCTTAGGCCCGTCTAGCGGAGTTGACGGCGGAGGACCATCGCTTCGATGCTGAGGGTCTTTGCTTCTTCCAGCACACTGACATTTGTCCACTTGTCTTCCCAAGAGATTTGCAGGATTTTTTGGAAGCAGCGCTGATGGAATAGTTTCAGGAGTTGCATGTGACGTCTGTAGACTGTCCACGTCTCGCAGGCATATAGCAGGGTTGGGAGGACAATAGATTTATAAACAAGCACCTACGGATGTCCCGGTCCTCAAACACTCTGCTTTATTCGGAAAAACGCTGCACTTGCAGAGCTCAGGCGGTGTTGTATTTAAGTGCCAGGGGCTGTCAATACACACACACACCTACCCTCTCTTATTTGTTTATATGCATATATGCATATGCGTGTTTGTGCACATACACACACAATGTGTTTCATTCTGGGAATTGTGCATCTCTACCATGAGAAAAGAAGCAACCACTATGTGAACAAAATGGATTAGAACACTCATTGTGTTACTTTTTTTCTTCTTGTTTCCAAATTAAGTCATTTTTATAGAATTTTCAAAATAATTTTAAGTTTGTAAGAGATTTAAAAGCTCTAAAACATGTATCTTACAACTTTAACAAATTAACTAGCTTTGTTACAACAGAGCGCTATGCGCGCCTGCTCAAAAGTCAACCGTACTAAGTTCAATACAACTTGCATCCCGAAGTATGGACTACAGCCTTCAAGAAATTATTAGACGTGATTGAATTGGCACCTAGAGAAAGAGAGCCTGTTTCTAGCATCGCTTTTAAAAGAGCTGGAGAGTTTCAGGGACCTGCTTGTTTTTGCCAAGACATATAAGCATCCAATTTCATGCCGGTCAAACTGCCAATAAAACCGCCAAACATGTGTCATGTCAAAAGGTTCAAAAACACTGGCCCAACATGATCCTTTTCAAAACAATACTGTTGGACTCTAACTAGCAACTGCTGGCATAAACTGGGATATTTTCTCCAATGGCAATTTTTAATAAAGAGAACATGCTACACAACTGATTTCACATGTGAGGCAACGGGCGACTCCAAACTGTAGAATTAATGCAGTTTGACACCACTTTAACTGCAATGGGGCAAAGCTATGGAATCATGGGAGTTGTAATTTTACAAGGTTTTTGGCTTTCTTCGCCAAAGAATGTTGGTGCCATGACCAAATTAGTAGAGAACAAGGGTTCCCTGCAAT